AAGCTCAGACCCAATCAGGACAGCGTAGTCACCAGGGCAGTAGGACGAGGACCAATAGGAACTGCAAGGCCTCCCCAAAGTCTAGTTTTCATCATCACACTATGTGACCCAATACTTTTTAGAATCAGTGTTCGCCGAGTACTGATCAGTCGACAGATCACCAAAATGATCAATTTTCAAATCAATTCAGATTGCGGAAGTAGCTCACACAACACAACAGCATACGTCCTCATAAGTTCTTTGCCGATTATCCCACCGATTCCAGAAAGGCCACGCTCTCCATTTCCTGGTGACGGAAACTTGGAAGACTCCATAAGGGAACTACTCACAAGGTTGCTGAAAACTCTTCGACCTTGTGGGTAGTTTCCTTTATCAAAATATACTGCGATATCTCGAGAATGAGGCGGCTTGTGTGCAGTACATTCAGTTGCAGAATATCATAAACGAGAGATTCAGTTGAGTCTCTCGTGAAAACCAAATTGATTTGCAAATGAGTGTATTTTTTCCAATTTCGGCTCCGTAAGAGAATTGTTGTACACCCCTGCTTTCCATCGCAAATTTTGGATAGTACTCATGGCATCTACTTTGGAAATGTTGATCTTTTCTCTTTTGTAGCCAAGTCAGGAATCGTTAGGGCTCCAGCTTGACGTAATCGCTTACCATGTTTCTACGTCATTCACAGTTGTAAAACATCACGCTTTTCAGCAGGTTCCTCCACGGTAGGCAGTCACGTGGATCATTAAAGTAAACACCATAGACAACATAGCTAACATTACGTTCAAGCCGTTTCGGTTGGTCGCTGATAGCAGGTTGATGCTGGGAACAACATGGGAGCAGCCACGGTCATTTACAATAACCAAGCGTAATGCATACATATATCACAAATTTAGAAGACTTTGCCGGAAGTTTAGATACATGTATCACAAATTTAGAAGACTTTGGTATTGCCGGAAGTTTAAAATCGTTTCATTACACTAAAATTTGCGTGGTTCATTCGAATAGCCCAAAACACACAATTCAAACGGAAGCCAGGTAATTGCAGTATTTGAATTGGCCAACGAACGGTTTAGGAAATATAGAGGTGAAAAAGGCCGTCTGATATTCCGTTGAACTTGTAAGTAAAGCAACTCAGGGCGGTTAGCGCTCTGAGTGTAAAGCCTTTCATCTTTTAGAAAGCTACCAGCAGACACATTCATGATCTGACTCTCGTTGCTGTAAGTGCCCGTCGATGAATGAATCACGACCGTCATCATCGTCACCATCATCATCATCGGCAACATAACACCTCCTACTCTGCAGAAGAGAGTAATTAATGGGGTGGAGAGAGGGGGAAGGAAAACTGTGTTCAAGTGAAAGAAGGGAGGTGTCAGCAGTAGCTTGTTTTCGCCTACCCGCCCTGCTGTATGCAGCAACTAAGGTGGATTGGATGATGACACTTTTGTAGGAGTCATGGTTCTATGTGGGCCAGGATACTACCATAGCACTCAGACTAAAGAAGGAGAACCAAAGCTCTTGGCTCAGAAGCCTGACCGCAGCTTGGCGGTGCTTGGCGGGAAATTCTGGTGCACCAAATGTTTCAAAGAACAAGTTACCACACATGTTCCAAACCCAACCAGGAGGGGCAGGAGACTGTGTTAGTCAGACCTCTGACCACTGACCAAGCCCATATGAGAAACTCTGCGAGTGTCGCACGAACACCCCAATAGGGTTCAGTGGGTGACACCATTGTGAAGTTTAGTCACTTCGTGATGGGAAATACGATGTTAAGGGACCACACAGTCACCTATCTTTTCCACTAATTAATGGGATTCAACAAAAGAGAAGTTACACGGCTTACTGTCCCAAAACAATATCAAAACTAATAAAAACTAGTAGTTTACTGCTTAGTGCATCGGTTATTTGTATTTCTTCAACTTCTAAAGTGCCACTTTAAGTGTAGCGAGTAAAC